TGTGAGGCGCAGTACAGGTAAGGGTGCAGCGGGAGTGGTGGTGGGAGTGGGAGAGGGTGGGGATTGTGCGCGCATGTGTAGGGGAGGCACGCATTGCCTTCAGAGTGCTGGCACGCAAGTGCGAGCATGCAAGTGCATGCATAATTTTTGGCATAGGAGCCCAAAAAGGTTATCCACCACTGTTCTAGACCAATGTTGTATCTGTTTCTATACATAGTTTTGAAGAAAACCAAATTCAAGAAACTCTTTCTCTAAAATGATATTTTATTGCTCTTGGGAGTAGAATTACAAGAATCTTACATTTGAATTAAATACTGACATCATGAAGTTGGTTAATGATAGCCTGCTTATGAGACATATTTTGTGCGTATCTGAATTAGCAAAGCACTAAAATTAATATTTTCAAAAGTTGAAGTAGCCTTAGAGATGGTAAATATGAATCCCTGGCATATTTTTCCCCTCTCCTTCTATCCCAATAGGAATTACAACTCTGGGGCACCTTCTGCCCAGTTGGTACTATCATGCTAAACCTTTATCTCCGCTTAATATGTACTGTATAACAGAGCATTTTAAACATCTGTGCTTATGAAGAAGCCATCCTTTCATCTATTCTTGCTCTACATGTGTGAGGAAAGCTTAGTTTTCAGGATTCTTTTTTTTTAACCTCAGTTTAGCATTAAATAAATCTTCTTGAACTCCATATTGCTTTTGGTCCCTTGTTTTTGTCAGCGATGGAGAACTTGACAACTTGCTGACAGCAAGAGAGGGGGATGTGTTGAGATATGTTACATTGGCAACATGACCTGTCAGTGCAATTCCACTTACACAATGGAGCATCACATGACTAAAACAACAGAAAAGGACTTTTAAAAGAAGTCATTTGGTCACACCCATTACTAGGAGGTAGACTTACCCACTGTCATTCACAACTCTAGCAGTGGTGGGATTCAAATTTTTTAACAACCAGTTCTGTGGGCGAGGCTTAGTTGGTGGGTATTGCTTGCTGATCATGTGACTGGGTGGACATGGCTTGATGGTCATGTGACTGGCTGGGTGTGGCCAACTCAACATCACTCACATCAAGGCACACATCTCTTCACCTGGCCTCTCGTGACTGTGGGAATGCTGCAACAGTCGTAGGTGTGAAAAAGGGTCATAAGTCACTTTTTTCAGTGCCATTGTAACTTTGAAGGGTTACTCCACACAAGCAAAGTACCATCAAAGGAGGAGAAAAAAACTCCAGAGAAGTTCCTGATACAGGAAGTCTAGTCCTGCCAAGAATGTAATAAGGGTTAACAGAGAGGCAGCTTCTGTAAGCAACACCAGAATGTTTCCTTCCTGCCTTCCTTACAGGATTAGGCCAGTAATTTCTTCTAACAACCGGTTCTCCGAACTGCTTAGAATGTTAACAACTGGTTCTAGCGAATAGGTGTAAACTGGTAGAATCCCATCCCTGATCTCTAGTAATGTAAATAACTGATCACTTAATTAACAAAGAGCTGGATACACTGGGTCTTGACCCATGATCCACTATTTTCTCAGTTACATTAAAATCCAAGACTTTCAAAGTTGCTGTGTTGTAGTCTATCACAAAGGACTATTGACAACCCATCCTGAGTTTTTACTTTTAATCTCATTGTAGCAGCTCTCTCATACATCAGAGAGTTCCCCAAGGGCTAAGGAACTCAACCCAAAATCTAGAAAATACATGAAGAACCACCAATTTCTTTTGGAAAATAGATTTTTTTTTTAAAAAAAATGAAGTCTTAGTTGATTTCTGATTTCAATATTAACATCACCCAATAGTAAAGAAAACACTACAACATTCTGGTAAGAACTTGTTCTGTCATCCAATCATTTTCCATTTAAGAAAACTTCTGTGGTTAACTGCTCAAAATAAACTATGAATTTCATTCATGATTTGTCAACCTTAAAAAAATAGAAAAAAATACCTCTGCTCTTTTTCATCATATCTCAATAGTTACCTTTGGTTTCTTTAATTATTCTTTTATTACAGTCCTACCCAATCTGATGCCTTCCAAAGGAACTACAACTCCCAAGGATTGGCTTTGGAACTGCTGGACCATACATATGGAAATTACAATTTAGGATTTCTGAGGAAACCCAAAAGGAAGAAGATAATTCTATAATTAATTATCAAGAAAGAATACAGTACTTAATGTGTGTGTGTGTGTGTATATACATACATACATACATACATACATACATACATACATACATATATATATGGTATTCAGCTTTGTTTGCGTATTTTCCCATGTCATTATAATTGTGCTTTTAAAGTTGTAGCAACGTTTCGGCAAAAACCTATCTGCCATCATCAGGCTTCTGTATTGTGTTCGTCTGTGAGTCAGACTTTCACAGTCTACCTGTGTAGTATGTACTGTGTAGATACTACACAGGCATCACATCAAGACTGCCTTCAAAACAGACAGAAAAATAGCAGCCATCCTTAGAAACCCCAAAGATAAAATTGACCTGGAAAACCAAGGCATATATGAAGTCCCCTGTGCATCATGCCCGGCCACATACATTGGACAGACCAATAGAAGAATAAGTACCCGCCTGGATGAACACAAAAATGCAGTAAAAAAGCTGGAACCCACTTCCTCACTAGTCCAACACATGAAAGCCACAGGTCATAGCATCAACTTCAATGGCACCAAAACCCTAGCCACTATAGAAAACCCCAGCCACAGAATTATCAGAGAAGCCATAGAGATTGAAAAAAGACCCAAAAGCATGAATAGAAGAGATGATTCCACCAGACTGTCAATTATCTGGAAGCCTGCACTCACAAACAAAAAAATCTCCACACCACTAGCCAGGCAAACACCTGGGCACTAACAGATCCCCCCTGATACCTCCAGCTCAAACACACCCCAGCCAGGCACCCAGATGAAACCTAGCTTCCTAACAAATGATAGCCATCCATTTACTCGGAGCCAAGCCACACTAAAAGCCTCCAATACAGGAACACAATGTTGCCAGCCAATCAAGACACAAAAAAGCCACAAAACAGACAGAAGATATTAGAAACACCAATCAAGCAGAACACAGCAAACTCCAAGACCAATAAACACAGACCAAGACTCCCAACCAATCAGGATGAAGAAAAAACCATTCTGGCACAGCAGTAGGCTAGCCCCAAATTTAAAACTGAAACGGCTGTGAAAGTCTGACTCACAGACAAACACAATACAGAAGCCTGATGATGGCAGATGAGATTCTGCTGAAACGTTGCTACAACTTTAAAAGCACAACTATAATGACGTGGGAAAATACCTGAACAAATGAATACACACACACACACACACACACACACACATATATGTTTTCTGAGGTTTTCGCGGGTATTTGTATGTGGATCTTTGGTTATTTGGGTTTTCTCCTGTGTAAAATTGGAAGTATCTAGGAGACATTTCGATGAAGTCTCATTCATCATCTTCAGTCTTGTGTCTTCGGCTTTGTGCTTCTCGGAGTAATGCTTCTCGAATACACACACACACACACACACACACATTGTGTGTCTCTGTGTGGGTCTTTTCTGCACTTTCTCTTTTCTTTTTCCTCCTTTTATTTCTTTAATTTTGCATTTGTTTTTATCTTTTTAATTCTAATTTCTAATAATATTACTACTTTAAAAAAAGAATAATTGTTGCAGATGAGAATGTGCATGGCTGAAAGTGAACCACAGATCCCAAGTCATAATAGAGGTTCACAAAATAGGTGCAAAAAACAGAGCAAAGGCATTTTAGCTTAAAATAGTTTTGGAAACTAAAAATGTTTAGTGGTTTATTGAACAAGAGCGGGCAGCAGAGAAGACAGATTTGGAAAATAATTAACATTTTCCCTAGCTTCTTCATAATCGTAATTGTGCTGGGTTTTTTCAGCCCAATGCAGAAGATGTTTGTTGCAGAAACTTTGCCTTTGTTTAGGTTTAATCCAGAAGGCAATTTGGGGGAAATGCCCTCAGTTTCAGTTAAAATGATGTCTTCCTTTTCCTTTCCCCTAATGCTGAATTATAATCCCCAGTTGTCCTACCCTTAGCCACGCCATTTGGAACTGCTGAAAGTTGTAATGTAACCCATTTTGATGGGTTTAGGGTCACACCCTAGCCAAAAAATAATAAAAAACAAAAAATAATAATAATTATGCATGTTATTCCTAATCTTAATTGATTTCATTGCCAGTGGCAATTTAAAACACTATGAGTAAGGTACAGGAAAATACAGCACAAATGAAATCATCTCAGTTTGCTATGGCTATTACTGATATATCCTGACTGATTCAAAGAATGTAAAAATACGCAAATTTTACCTCAGCCATGACGGGCAATGAAGAACCTTTTGAATGTGTAACTTGTTCCTAAACAACTGAAATCTACTGCCTTCAAAAACCTGTAACAATTTATTTGTTTATCGCTATCTGGCAAAGGGCTATAGTCTAAATCAATCTCTCCCATATTGTTAAAACCAAACACCTTCCTGCCCTAAATCTACCATAACAGGAAAAAAAAAGACCGATCTTGCATTCTTCCAGGATATGAGCCTCAAGGGAAAATTCAGTGGATTTGCACAAATCCTTCAGCTGCCCTAGATTTGAACTATCAGACACCTTATTCAGTCACTCAGATTTATAGCACCAGAAATAATTCACTTCAAGTTTCCATGGTGGGAGTGAATCATTTTTTTCTAAGGAATGAGATGAATTAAGATCTGATTGAACAGAAGAGACCAATTAGTTGTTTATTGGGGCTAATATACCTTACAGGAAAATATGGATTGTTTTCCAATTTTTAGGCACAAAAACTTATCTGGTTTAAGATGCCCTGTGCTGAAACCAAGGAAGGAGAAAATAAAACTTTCATCATAATTAGGGGAAAAAAACATGATTTAGGCCTCTCCAAAGCATTTTTCTTGAGAGGGAGGTCCCCTCCCATTCACTTTTTAAAGATCCATGCAGAAATCACACTGTGATTAATGCAAAGCAGCATTCTGTTGCATTGTACGGACTTTCTCCATTAAATTCTTCTTAAATGGCATCATGAAATCATCAAAGTCCACTTCATAAGTAAAACGCTGCCGACGTAATTCCCTCTTTTTGAGAAGATCTTTTGTGGTTGCTTCAGGACTCCAAGACTTGAAAAAGAAAAGAAAAAAACAGTTCTTAATCAAAATGCAGCATGATAGATTAAGGAATCATGTTGATCTGCTCTGAAAAAAGCAAAGTTATTGAGTATGTCCTGGAGTGACTGTCTGGAATTCTCAGTCTATTAGTATCAAACCTATAGTATCATCAAGAATATGGTTGGTGAGCATCTATGCAGCAAGTGTGTTTGTCTCGTTAACCAACTCCCTAATGGAATTTTATACTATTAGGAGCATGTTATCAATAAACAGTAATGAATAATGGTGTGTAAGTTATTGCTACCTCTTTATATTCGGTATACTCAAAGCAATAGCAATAGCACTTAGACTTATATACCGCTTCACAATGCTTTACAGCCCTCTCTAAGCAGTTTACAGAGTCAGCCTATTGCCCCCAACCATCTGGGTCCTCATTTTACTCGGAAGGATGGGAGGCTGAATCAACCTTGAGCCTGGTGAGACTCGAACTAGCAGAATTGGCCTGCAATACTGCATTCTAACCACTGCACCACCACAACGCAGGAAATATATTCAAGTACAGGCAAGCTTATGAATACTTGGGAGAAGGTATTTTCTTGATAAATGGAAGTCTTCTATCACATTTGGTATAGCCATCATGGGCCATATCGAATTTCTTTAAGGTCAAGATTTGGTTTGATGATAGTAATTATCTGACTATCCTTTGATCTAGACAAAGGATTTTTCAACTAGCCTCCTTGGGGAAAATTAACTATTCTAATTATCAAAAGGATTCCTATAGAACTGGATGGGTTGTCCACAGGGAGGGAAGTGAGTTTTAAAAAAGTAAAGATGGTGGCTATAACTATGCAAATAGAACCACATATCCTTCTTTATTTATTTATTTATTTATTTATTTATTTATTTATTTATTTGATTTGCCAATTGTTTACAAGATAATAAGTATAAGTGTATACATAGTTGTGAATACATGAAATGGGTACATATAAGAAAAATAAAAGAAGAATAAGAGAAACAATAGGACAGGGACGGTAGGCACGTTGGTGCGCTTATGCACGCCCCCTACAGACCTCTTAGGAAAGGGGTGAGGTCAATAGTAGACAGTCTAAGGTTAAAGTTTTTGGGGTTTGGGGAAGAAACTACAGAGTCGGGTAGAGTATTCCAGACATTGACCACTCTATTGCTGAAGTCGTATTTCCTGCAATCGAGTTTGGTGCGGTTAACTTTGAGTTTGTATCTATTGTGTGCTCTTGTGTTGTTATGGTTGAAGCTGAAGTATTCATTGACAGGTAGGACATTGCAATGTATGATTTTATATACCATGCTTAAATCAGACCGAAGACAGCGTAATTCAAGGTTTTCTAGTTCTAGAATTTCAAGTCTGGTGGCATAAGGTATTCTACAACGAGTAGAGGAGTGGAGAACTCTTCTTGTGAAATATTTCTGGACTTTCTCAATTGTGCTAATATCAGATACGTAATGTGGGTTCCAGACTGATGAACTGTATTCGAGTATTGGTCTAGCAAATGTTTTGTATGCTCTGGTTAGTAGTGTGATATTACCAGAGAAAAAGCTACGTAGGATTAGGTTAACAACTCTTAATGCCTTTTTGGCTATGTAGTTGCAGTGGGCTCTAGCACTTAGATCATTAGAGGTGAGTATTCCAAGGTCCTTTACAGAGCTTGGGTCATCAACAAGATCTTGACTATTCAGCTTGTATTTTATTTTCTGATTTTATTTTATTTTTATTACATGAAAGGAGCAAGAGCTTTGATTATCTGCTGTATCTACCATATTTACTTTTTAACACACACAGCCATCTACCATAGATGCTTCCAAATCAAAAGCATTAGGAAATTGTAGTATTATTCTTGAGATTGTAATTTTGGAGGCAGCATGCTCTTATTATCTGAATGGCTTAATGACAGTAGTATTTTAGGATTTTGAACCACCTGAGTTGGAACAAATGGGAAATATAAACTGAATAGGACACAGGGAACACAATGATCTGAACTAGATCTGAACCCACCAGGAACATATTCCACAAAATTAGGAGCTCAGTGAATTATAACTCTTATCTATTTTATGGTGGTACGTACTCTCTGTGGTGTGAAAGTGATATTAAGTTTCTTTGTAGCTCCTCTGGTTATCAGAGAATTCAGATAAACTACATTATCTTTGATGGATTCCTTCTCTTCTTCAAAAAGTGATTTCTCAACAATAGCCTCAAGGGGTTGTGGCATCTGAAATACACAATGTAAATTATATCAGGATTTTCAAGGCTTCATACTGCTTTATGCTTATCTTTTTGCAATTAAAGAATTAAAGTCAAAGGCTAGTAGCTTAAATGGCTGGCACTTGAGAAGGATGTTTAGATTTAAACTTTGATTCTCTTAATTATCAGGAAAAGAGAATGGAAGACCTGTTGCATTCAAAAGATCCCAGGTTCAATCATAGTAATCTCCAGATAAGTCTGACAAAAAAACAAACCACCACCTCCACCCTACTTCAAACTCTTGAGAACACTTGACGGACTTCTGGATGGACCAATGGCATTACTATGAATGAAGCGCTTCCTTGTTGTTGTTTTTTCCTACTGATAATGCTATTCTCAAAAACTCATTGTCATGCTATTCTTCAAAAACTCTGTAACAAAACCTGAAGTATTTGCTTTACTGGCATGTAGTCTAGATAAGCTTCCATGGGGCAGAGTTTCCGGATTCCCCTGCCCAGTGTCACATGCCGAATTCAGCATGCAGAGATCTTTTCCTGTGGTGGTTGTAGGGACTCAAGCAGAGAATGGATAGAAATTATGTTGTGGTCTTTTCGTGGTTCAGAAGGATCATTTCAATGAGCATCAAAGGGGGAAGGGAGGGTGTTTTTGGTGCACCCCCAATGGAAATCCCTTGACATCATACCAGAGATAGGAATTCCCCTCCAGTCAACTTTCTCTTAAAGTGATTTTTCCAACATTATGAAAAGGCAAAGCTATGAATGATTCAAGCCAAAGAATCTTGGTTATCATACCTCCTCTTTCACAGACTCCTTTGATTGTTCTTCAAACTTTGGCTTGGGAAGAGCTGGAACTCCTGATGGAGCTGGAGTAGGAGTAGCAGCAGCAGGGGCTTTAGGCTTGGCCCCTTTTTTCCCTTTCTTCTTATCCCCTTTGACTTCTGTGGATTGTGGCAAGCGGTCCAAGGTATCTTGAATGAAGTGGATCAGTCGGTTGTCTGCATAGGCCCTGGCAATTTCCAGTGAGTTTTGTCCTATTAAATAAAACTTATGGTAAATTCTGGGACATTCTCAGCTTCTCTGTACATAGAACTGAACAAATATTGTCTCTTTGCTGGATCTCTGGCTTAGACTTCAATCAGCTCTTGCTACAACTGTCTCCTCTTTGATCTTCTATTATCATACCCTGAGCTTCTGAACTCTGTTGAAAGTAACTCACCCTTCTGATGACTTGGAGTGGAATCCTAAATTCCTATACTGGTTCCTTGTCCACCTGCAATCCAGCATAACTGCTTCCCTCTTACATTCAAATATTCCATAGCTTTTATCTCACTGCTAAACAATCTTGGCACATCCCTTCCTATGAGATCCAGTCCTTCAGCTTCACCAACCTTGGCTTTCCTAAAGATGTCTCACGTACTTATATGACTCTGCTCCTTCTTCTTTGTTGCCCCTTATCCCTTCCAAAGCAGAGGTGGTATTCAGCAGGTTCTGACCAGTTCTAGAGATCCGGTAGTGGACATTTTGAGTAGTTCGAAGAACCAGCAAATACCACCTCTGACTGGCCCCGCCCCCATCTATTCTCTGCCTCCCAAGTCCCAGCTGATTGGCTGGGTCTTCTTTTGTTGCCCTGCACAGGAGAACGGAGCTGGAAAGCAGGTTAGTGGGATGGGGAGGGAATGGGATTTTGCAGTAACCTTCCCCCAGGAGTGGGGAGGGAATGGAAATTTTACAGTAACCTTCCCCTGCCACATCCACCAAGCCATGCCCACAGAACCGGTGGTAAAAAAATTTTGAATCCCACCACTGTTCCAAAGGCCTCTATGAGATCACTTGAGAGCCTTTCTTTTGCCAAGTAGGCTTTGATGCAGCCCCTATTCTTCTGATCCTCTTTGGAAACAAAAGACTTCTTATTTTTCAAAATGTAATTTTATTAAAGTGTGGAGGAGAAAAAGGTTGCTCCCTGTAACATATTTCCTGAACTGAGCTGCTTCTGTACCATCACAAATTCATATTGGCTTTTCAATAAATAGCTTTGGAGTTTGTATGGATGCTGCACTAAGAAACCAGATCAGATTTCTGATAAGCTTCCATCATTGTTTCATTTTTCTTTGCATCAGAGACACAAGAGGGGTGATATTCTATGGGTTGAGCTTGAATTGTTTAAATTACACTCTGTTAAATTGATTGTACAGTATTTCATGTTAATATCGCCAGGTTTCCAATAAAATTCTCCTCCACCACATTAAAAATTACACTATTCGGGCAACTTTGAAAGACGCTCTGGAAACAACATAAATGCTTTTGGGGGGGGGGCAAAAGAGCACATCTGTCCCTGTGGCCTCAGCTGGCCATAGGGCTATGCTCTTAAGAGAGCCTGTGAAGTTCAATGCCAAAGCATGTAAAAGGATGAATAACTAATTAAAATGAGAGCTGGCACGATGTGGTGATTAAATTGCTGGACTAGACACAGAGAAACCCAAGTGCCTGTCCTCACTTGGGCATGAAAGCCTGCTGGTTGACTTTGGGCAAGTCATTCCCTTTAAGCCTTGATCAGGATCATGCATTGTGACAAGGTGGCTGAAAAATAAAACTCCCATTTCGCCATGCATTGATAGCTGCCCTCTAAGAACTGCTGTGAGTATAGTATAAAATGAGCAAACGTTACAACCAAGCAAGACAGACGCTAGGAATAAAACTATAAGGCAGCTGGTAAAAATCAGCTGGAAAGAAAAAAAATGAATAAAGCAAAAAAGTCAAGCCCTCTATTTATTCTGTTAATCAATATTTTAAAACCAATTAACTCCATAATGTTATTTAATAAGGGGAAAAACCCTTCCTTTCTATAGTTGCTTGTTTATCTGCATTTAACCTCTTAGCTAATAATACACTGAGTAATAATAGCAATAGCACTTAGACTTATATACCACTTCACAGTGCTTTGCAACCCTCTCTAAGTGGTTTACAGAATCAGCATATTGTCCTAAATAATCTAGGTCCTCATTTTACCGACCTTGGAAGGATGGAAAGCTGAGTCAATCTTGAGCCTGGTGAGATTTGAACTGTCAAATTACAGGCAGGCAGCAGAAGTACCCTGCAGTACTGCATTCTAACCACTGCACCACTGCGGCTGATAATAATGCAAAACTTTACCTCTTCGGTTTGCCATCTGCGCCTTAGCACCACTGTTGATTAAATACTGCACGGTGTCCAAGCGGCTGCTTTCAATACCCCTCATCAATGGGGTTGCATCATTGATTGAGACGGCATCTATTGTGGCACCAGCTTTCATAAGGAGTTCAGCAATGTCTTGCTGCCCTGCGTGGCAGGCATGATGGAGAGGAGTCCACATAAAATTGTCTTTGGCGTTTACACTCGCCCTGTATGTAGAGAAAATAAGGACTCCGTAAGGCACGTTCGTGCTTTTCTAGCCAGTTCTTTGTATTCTTCAACTGATCCTAGACAAAGGGATTTAGTATTAATGGGTTAGGGAGATGGCAAATAGCAGCCTATAACTGAATTCTCTTCCTTTGTTGAAATAATGCCAAAACTCTAATCTCTCAGCATCCCAATTAAATTAACTGGGAAATGGAGAGAGGATTTTTTTTTCTTTCTTTTGAAAGAATGAACCATTCAGCAAAAGCAACTGGCAGTCAATTTGAGTCTGATTAAAACAACAAAAGTAATGGCACCAAAGGTAAAGAAATGTATTGCAGTATAAACTGCAATTAACTGCATTACAGTGCAGCATAAACACTGTGGATTACAGCCTACTTTGGTCTGTGAAGCTGTACGAAACTAAATAGCCTAGGTAGGATCCTAGATATGAGCCACGTCTAGGGCTGCATACAAAGCTTGAACCCAAATTGTCCCATCTCTTGTATTTGATACCTTAGATAACTACCCTTTAAAACTTATTCATTATCACCTTTCCTTCTTTCTGCTAAATCCTAGATCTTATTTATTTTGCCACACTATTTTAATTCACTTTTGGGGAACAGGAGAACTACTGATCTGGAGATAGTGAGGTGTTTGATTCCCCCACCCTCGAAGAATATTTTTCCATAGTTCCCACTACTACAAAGGGATGCTTGTAGGAAAAAAGCGATTACAGACAAAGCGACTTTGTTGGCACAAATTCAGATGACTTCCAATATGGACTAAATGACAAATTTGTCAAGCACAAATAAGAAAGGCAAGTGTGTTCAACAAAATATCACAGCTTAACCAGATGCCATGCCTGCTTCTACAGGACTCTACCCTCTTCATCTTGGTTTTACGTTCTTGGCTTGCCTCCACAACTGACTAGGATAGCCTTGCAGTTCAATAAAGAACCCAACCAGCTTTAAAATATGCCCTATCCTAGGGGTCTCCAATCTTGGCCAATTTAAGACTTGTGAACTTCAACTCCTAGAATTCCTCATCCAGCAAAGCTCTATCCAACATTAAATCCACAATGCCCTGGTCATCACATGGTCATCAACCTCACCCTAGAAACCTACCACCAACCCAACCTTGGGTTTTTTGACTGTGGAATTCTGTTCTTGGATTCCTGGCAAGTCATTAAAAAAAAGTTAGCTCACCCCTTTTCGAGAAGGAACTGTACTGCTTCCATGTTGCCACTTGCACAGGCAGCCATCAACGGAGTCTTATAGAAATGGTCTCTGATGTCTACCGGTACCCCTGCTTCAAATGCTTTTCTTATAGACGAAAGATCCCCCTCTTTGGCAAGATAATTGATGTTGGCATAGTTCTTTGGTGGGTCATCAACGTACCACCAGGAATCATCCTGCAAAGGATGTTCTGGAGGGTGATCCCGATTGAACCGAGTGCAGTCAGTTACATTTTGATAAGTTTCAATCATGTATTCTGGGGGTCCCCCGTCTGTCCGACGAGGGCGGGAGCTCTCTGGAATGACACAGATTGGCATTGGCATGGCAAATTTTCCTTTTTTGCCTTTTGCTTTCTTGGGCTTCTTCTTCTTTGGACCATAACTCCCAAGGAGGAAAGGCTTCTGCAAGTACCGGTTGCCCTTCAGAAATTCTTCAATGTTAACTCCTGCGGCACGCATTTTCTCATGAACCTGAGCTATTGTACGTAGCTGCTCTGGCTCAATAAATGGATACCTTTCCTCAATAATAGATACAAAATCTTCCTTGGTCACAGTCCCATCCCCTCGATCGTAACGCTCAAATGCTTCACGAAGGCTCGCCTGATTTTCTCCAGACCAATCGTGCAACCTGATAGCCCAGGGTGGATTGGGATCCTTAACCCCAGGTTTGGGTTTGGAAAATTTGGCAAATCGCCGCTCAATTTTACGTATCTCCTTTGCAGCTGCTTTGAATCCCCCTTCTTTAGCCACCTGCCTCGGGACCTTCTTCTCTAAGTTTCTCCAAGTAGGATCACAACCTACAAATTTAGAAGAAGTACATTGAAAACAAGTTGTGGCTGGAGACCAGGAGTAGTGTGACTCTACGATTCTCAACCTATGGTCCGCGCACCCCCGGGGAGGGCGTGATGCCATCACGGGGGTCTGCGAAGGCTTGAAGAAATGTTATGATTTAAATCTTAAGTCTTGGGTGTCCATGGCCATGGTGTGTGGCCACAAAAAGTATTTAAAGAAGGTCCATGGTGAAGAAAAGGTTGAGAACCACTGGGGTAAATATTTCTTGAAACACAGAGCAGTGAACATTACAGCTGCTGAAGTTCTGTACTGACTGTTTATTGCTGACTGGTGAAATTATTAAGGTAGAATGTTGCAGACACAATATCATCATGACTGTATTTTATATGGAACCCACACTGTGATGATGCAGGATCCTATCTTATATGACAGTTGTAGGTACAAAAGATTGCTTCTGCAAATATTAGACCAACATCATCAGGAAATCAGGTGGTAATCTTGAATATCCACCTGGTAAACGTTCCTGACAAAATATAACCTGAACAGAAATAATGTGTTGGATCCAAACCAAGACTCAATTGGTGTGTGTGTGTGTGTGTGTATGTATGGTATTCAGCTTTGTTTGGGTATTTTCCCATGTCATTATAGTTGTGCTTTTAAAGTTGTAGTAACGTTTCAGCAGAATCTCATCTGCCATCATCAGGCTTCTGTATTGTGTTCGTCTGTGAGTCAGACTGGTAAACTTAAGAAAACACACACACACACACACACACACAAACATACATACATACATATACATATACATATACATATACATATACATACATACATACATACATACATACATACATACATACATACATATATATATATATATATATATATATATATATATATATAGGTTTATACCTGGCTTTGTCACTTGTATTAGCAAAGCAGATTTCAAAAATACACAATATAAAACATGATGTTAAAAGCAATAAATTAACAAAAAAAATCTTCACAAAGAGTTGTTTTTACAATTGTTCTTAACACCAAAAGAATGAGGTTGAACACACCTATCTAAGGGAAAACAATATAAACCTGAAGCCAGGGGTGGGATTCTACCAGTTCGCACGTATTCGCTAGAACTGGTTGTTAACATTTTAAGCAGTTCAGAGAACCGGTTGTTAGAAGAAATGACTGGCCTAATCCTGTAAGGAAGGCAGGAAGGAAACATTCTGCTGTTGCTTACAGAAACTGCCTCTCTGTTAACCCTTATTACATTCTTGGCAGGACTAGACTTCCTGTCTCTGGAATTTCTCTGGATTTTTTTCCCCTTCTTTGCTGGTAGTTTGCTTGTGTGCAATGACCATTCAAAGATACAATGGCACTGAAAAAAGTGACTTATGACCATTTTTCACACTTACGACTATTGCAACATCCCCACAGTCATGACAGGCCAGGCAAGGAGATGCATGCCTCAATGTGAGTGATATTGAGTTGGCCACACCCAGCCAATAACATGACCACCAAGCCATGCCCACCACCTAAGCCACGCTCACAGAACCGGTTGTTAAAAAATTTGAATCCCACGCCTGCCTGAAGCCCATAGAGAAGAAGGACCTAAGTTTCTGAAAACTTCAGGGCGCCAAAGGACAGGTCCTCTACTCTGAGTAACCACACAGGTTCAGCTAGGAAGAGGCAGTCTATTGGATAGTCAGGTCCCACCCATTTGGTGTTTTAAAGATGAATTGACATCCAGTAGAGATCTTTCAATGGACAGATTAATTGATCCCTATATCTTGCACTAGTTAGTTTATCTGTTGCATTTGGTATCCACCACAATTTTCAATAGCAGCCCCACATTCAGATTATTGGTTCAAGCTGAACTGAATACAAAATTCAGTCTCACTGCATAGACAAGGCCAAATACCAATTGGGACAGTCCATGGACTTTAATGGAACACATGAAATTTCAAGCCTCTCTTGACTGGGCAAGACTGAACACTGAAGTACTAGAAGAGAAGAAGTCTAGGTAGTCCATTACCATCTGATTAGTTCAGGAAGACAAACCGTTGTGCGACTGTTAAATAGTACACTGATTGCATTCTTACAATATTTTGACCAGAGTAATATACTGTTTCACCAAACTTTGGGAAGAAGCTTTTGACCAATGAGATGGAATATCCATGGACCGTGGTCCAGACTACATCCCTGCTCTCCTGACTTGATCTACTTCATGACAGTTTGGAAACGTAAATACATGCTTGGTTTGTAATTTCATTCAGGATTTAATCTTGGATAATTATTTGAATCAGGAATGGACCTGGAATTGAGTTCCCATCTTCGTTGATTAGATCACAGTTGGAAAGGAAGAAAGGCCAACCAATGGTTTGGTATAAGCCACAACGAGTTCAAAGATCAAACATCTAAAACTCTACATTTACTTTAGAGGCTCTTTGTTCTCTAACATTTATAATTTACCTCTTTGACCGATAAACTTGCAGCACTCGGCAAAACCTCCAGCAGCAGCATAGTGAAGAGGCGTGTTTCCATTCATGGCTATAAGGCCCACATCTCCATTGTAGGCAGAAATAATCCTCAGAATCTGGAGGAGGAAGCCCATGCTATTACATGCAAAAGCAAACATGTGGACACTGATAACAACCATCAAATTGAGTTTATTTTGAGCTGCAGCAAACACAAATGACTTCACTGAAACCATTTAAAAACTACTGCTGTCAATATAACACAGAATAATAGTGATTAAGATAGGTGACTGTATATTGGCACACAGGCAACATTCCTACATGGTAATCCTTTTTACAGAAGGAGAAAGGATTTCTTTTTTTTCAATCTTTTGGGGCAAAACTGTATTTTCACACTTGTTCTGCTTTTTTTTTTTTTTTTTTAGTAAGAGGGTAAGTTTGATCTTCTGGGCTCTGGGAGCTCTAAAAACGAAGCTTAGACGGGGCTATGAGAGACCTACCTTGCTTGCGTTCAAAGAAGTCCTTCATTAAATGGATATTTGCACTGGGTGCATGTGCTGAGAGAAGCAAAGACACCAATTTCCTCTTTTTCTTATTCCAATCAAACACACACAAGCTCTGAAGTCTTTGAATAGCTTTGAATTAAAAGGATCACGTCTTTGAGAACTTGATCTCCAGTCAGTTAAATCCCGGGACAACTTTGCCCGCCAGACATCGAACTTCCAATAAGTTACTGCAGGGCGGGGGTGTCGAACTCAAGGCCCGCGGGGCCATCCCGGAAACTGTGAAAGACTGGCCCGCGGTGCCTCTGCCGGTGAAAATGGAACTCACTGGCAGAGGGTTGCAGGAGGTGGTTGCAGCTGAAAAAGGAGCTCGGGAGCCCATTTTCTCTGGCAGCGCGCTTGGTCCACCACAGGTGCCCTGACACCAGTGATGTTGAGCTGGCCACACCCATACTGGCCACGGCCACTGCAGTCCCCTGAGGTCAAACACAACCCTGATGCGGTCCTCAATGAAATGGAGTTTGACCCCCCTGAGCTACTGCATGAATTTGAACCGTCTCTGCAAATCAGCTTCCTTCTTACTTACTTGTCCCCATTTATCTGTATTTACTCCCTTGTTCTTGTTTGTGTTCATATTTATACTTGTTATCTTGTACATGTTTGACAAACAAGCAAACAAATGAATAAATATTTTTTGGAGCTTTGCAGATTTAAAGGTGCTGTCCCAAATCCTGTGTGGTCCTAGAGCTAATGGAAATCGCAAAGCTCCATTTTAAGAGCAAGCAACCAGCTCAACTGAACTTGCTGGATATAAATCAGCCAGGATGCTATTTCTCTTAACACAAGTTTAGGAGGCGGGGAAGGGTAAATAGCACTAATAGGGAATGCTGAGGCCCAAACTGATATAAAGAGACAAAGTTGGCTCCTCCCCATGCCTCACAACTGTTCCCCTGAGTTTAAAGTAACTGGTCTAAGAAAACTTAAAACAGGCAGACAAACAAGTGAGTTTTTCCCCCCGGGGGATTCGTTTGGGACAAATCCCTGGCCTAGTAACCTCGAATCTTAACGAAGAGAATCCTCAGAGTGGAGGCTTCTGAACAAAGCAGCAGGAAATATTTAAACATTTAAACAGATACACTTCCAGCAAAGACCGTGGAGGAGAAATCAATTTAACAGGATGACCGAATGACAAACGCAACCCCGAGCAGTAATTCTCCATCGAGTTTCCTTCTTCCTTCCATCAAATGTGATTCTGGGAATGCATTAGCGTAGCACGGTAATGAAAACGTTCCCTGTTCTGCTACCAGGAGGAGGAAAAAACGAGCCAATGGTAACAAAACTCATTCCTTCGACAGCAGCACCCCTTGATGTTAATACGTCAATTGAAGATCTTAAAATGTTGTGTATTTCTGTAAATCACATTGATGGAGGAGAATTGGGGAAATTCAATTCAGAACTGCCCTTTCTTGACAGCCACCGTCCTTCTCCAGTTCAACTCTTTTATCCATTTCTGGGCCTATCGTCACTTTCACATTTTCCCCCTCTTCTCTATGACCTCCCGCTGTTAGGACAGCCTCCCCCGTATTACCAACCCATAGGGGAAAAACAAAGTATTCCAGAATTCCCTTTCTAGTTTCTTTCTGATTATTAGTAATTAACCCAGAGAGATCCTTGGTTGGGTACCTTTGCTTCTGACAGCATCAAGAAAGAATACCTCAAAAAACCCTCCTTTGGCAGCAAAATGGGCAGCATGGTGTCGCTCGTTGTCAAAAACATTAACATTCCCACCTCTCTCCAGGATACCCCGGACCACCTCTAAAACCCCTTCTCTTGCTGCTTCCATCAAGGCAGTGCGGCCTGTTGCCTGCAAATCAGAGAGACAGGATTATAGGATTTTTTCCCCCCCGAATTTCAAAGGAGACAGAAAAGCAAGCAAAGCTTCTAGAGATAAAAACCATATGCAGAGATTCAGAATTGTCCAAAGAAAGCTTGTTTTTTTAACCTCTTACTTGGAAACAGAGGCTACATTTTGACCTGGATCAATTGCTATCCAGCTACAAGCTAGGATCCTAGCAGGAAGTGTATATCATGCCTCTAAGAACTTTCCCTTCAATAAGGGTTTCTCAATTGGTTAAGTCCAGGAGACCAAGCTGCATGGACACATACAGTGTATGATATTTTCCCAATCAAAATGGCCCTTATCTTTACGATAGCCTTCTCTTTGATGTATTTGTTTCCCAAATGCTGATGAATTGGTGCTGCTTTACACGTGGAAACATTATAAGCAGGAGCGTTTACATTACACATCCTTGCCATGTAAAATGGCAGCAGTCGTGAATTCTGCCACTGCCCTTTGCACAAAATGTTTCTAAATATCTTACTGTTTCATCCCAAGCACTCCACTTAAGGTGTTGGAACACCAAGAATGGCATTAAGAGTTTTGGATCATGTAGAATAATTAGGGCATGGTTTGGACCTGCACACAAGTACAAACAAGAGCATTTCTTGCTTTGTTTTCTATGATACACCGGTGTGTTTTGGGGAACCTATGTTGGACAAGCTATTGCCCTCCATGTTGCCCTGACTTTTATAAGGCAGAGCCTGCCACATGCTCCTTTAAAAAAAAAAAAAAGACATTGTATTGTGTTTTTTGCCTCCGGTTAATGAGTTCCAATTTCAGTCAGTCCAAATGACTGAACAAAATGAAGTGTCCAAGGTACCCGCTTAAAATGTTAAGAATGCTCTTACTGGGTTTGTTGCATTGGGATCTGCTCCTCTTTCCAAAAATGTCATACATATCTCTTTGATCTCGTGGGCTTGCTCACAGGCTTGTACGAAAACTGGCTTCCCCTCAAAAGCACAGTTGTTCACATCCGCTCCAAATTCGAGGACCATCTGAACACAGCGGAAGTGCCGCTTGGTGGGCAGAATGCAATAAAATAGCACTCCTGGAAAGAGCACATAGCACTATGGCTTAAAAAAAGCAAACGTCCACCACGCTGAACACAGCTACCACACCACTAAGGGAATTGAAACATTCGGTCTGGTCTTCCTGAAAAACCCTCCCGACAAACAAAGAGGACACAGGACTTGTCCTACCTTTTCCTTCTGCATCCACTATGGTCATATCTGCCTCGGCCTGGACCAGCACATCCAAGGCCAAGTCGTGGCCAAGTTCTGCCGCTTTCATCGCGGGGGTGCGCCCCATTCGATCTTGGATATCGGGGTGAGCGCCAAGTTCTAAAAGAAAGTTGCACATGTCAATGTCGTTGGCCACACAAGCCAGGTGAAGGGCACCGTCTCCATTTTCTGGCTCGGTGAAATTGATGAGTTCAGGGTATCCAAGCTTGGTGAGCTTTTCAATCTGTTTCGTGTCCTTCTGGCGAACACACTGAAGGACTTTATAGATCTGGAGGTTTTCAAGCCTCTTGTCAGCCAAAGCCATGTTCAATATCCCGAGGAAAACTCTCCCCTTAAAGAAAGATCCTGAATAAGAAAAAGAAAACAATAACAAAAAGAGGGAATCAGTCCACTCTAAATTCTTCAAGTTTCATGTTACGGTCATGGTATTTGGTAGCTAACAACACCTGTGATGGGCAATTTGCATTCAGTGGATTTAGAATGGAGGATAGGTTGTATAGGGCTTGGATTCAAAGGAGGAAAAAAGATGCTTTGGAGTGTGCTGGACGGCTCAAGTCTACAATGCTTTAAAGCATCTGCATCTTTTCCCAGGATCACAATACTTCCTACAGAGTTGAGTCTTTTCCCAGTAAAACATACTTTTTAGTTTAAAAAGTGGCCAATAGACGTTAGTTGTGCACACATGCACATTCTGAAGCATCTTTTCCCATCTGAACCTGAAGCACTGCTCAGCCCCAAGAAAGGTTCAAGAAATCGGTTTGCATCCTTTACCCCAATATTGTCCTGGCATCAACTTCCCTCCTGTGGCAGACAAGGATGCAACAAAAGAAGAGTGAGATTAAGGTAAACCATTTCCCCTTTTTGTTAGCTTTTATATCCCCCAGTTCTGGGAACAGCAAAGAACAAAGGCACCAAGCCACTGTCTGAGGACTGCTGGAGCACTGTGGGGTTGCTAGGTTCTCATTGGATTAATCAATTAAATGAGAGTACGTTGCTTTCATTGCTAGAAAGAGAAAACTTTGCCAGGCATTTAGTCCCATTTAAAGGTAAAGGTTCCCCTAGCTCATACATGCTAGTCATTTCCGGCTCTAGGGGACAGTGCTCATCTCCGTTAAAAAGCCGAAAAGCCAACACTGTCCAAAGACGACTCCGTGGTCATGTGCTGGCATGGCTAAACACTGAAGGCGCACGGAACACTGTTACATTCCCACCAAAGTGGTCCCTATTTTTCTACTTGCATTTTTACATGCTTTTGAACTGCTAGGTTGGCAGAAGCTGGGACAAGTAATGGGAGCTCACTCCATTACACGGTGCTAGGGATTCGAACCGCCAAACTGCTGACCTTTCTGATCGACAAGTTCAGCGTCTTAGCCACTCAGCCACCCATCCCCCCTTAGTCCCATTTAGAGCCTCGTAATAACACAACAATAGCAATAGCACTTAGACTTGTATACCGCTTCATAGTGCTTTACAGCCCTCTCCGAGTGGTTTACAAAGTTAGCATATTGCCCCCAACAATCGGGGTCCTCATTTTATCAACCGTGGAAGGATGGAAGGCTGTGTCCTGTCAGGAGAAGGCATCCTTGATATATATGCTAAAGTCAACCTAACAAAATAAGGATAAAGCTGGATAAGGGGTTGCAGAGTAAGGCTTTCCAACAAATAATCACGACATGTGGAAATAAGGATGGATGTGATAAAGGCTGTAGGGCAGCTCAGTTTTTGTCTCCAAAAGATTTGTTGTTGATGCCTACAAAAGCATTGAGCGCCTGTTTGTCCCATCTTAAAGCAGGTGTGTTGTTTTTTTCCCTTGTGTTGCTGTAGTCCTTCCTAACTTCCTGATCGATTTTGGTGCCATAGCTCTACAATATCTTAACTGTGGTGGCACTTAACTATTTCTGAAACACTTCTGCCTCATACATGTTTGTGAAGTCTTTACAGACACTCCCAGTTCAAAAAGAGGCTATTTTGCACATCTTCAGTGCACTGGCTATTCAAATGGTTTCACATAGATAGTATGAATTAATAATATATCCTCCCCTCCATGTTGTGGAAACCATGAATCTGAGAGCATATGCTATCGCATGCAGCTCAAGTCAGTTAGCCAATAGCCGTTACTGCGGCTATCGCTTTTACTTTTTATTAACATCACAGAAGTTATAATGTGATATATATCTATATCATATATAACATAATTCAAACAATGCACCTTATCCATCGTGGAGCAGCAATACTATAGATATTAACAGATGGTTTCCACTTCCAAGTTTTTTCCCCCAGTCCACTTCCTATTAGCATCTTACCTTATTTTCACTGACTAATCCTCTGGCTCATTCCATTGCCAGATGTGTATATTTTCAAACTGTAAGGTTTGTGAGGAAGAGAATAATAACTACGTTTTATAAAGCTCATACCAATCAATTCCCAGGCCTCCAAACCTGAGTTCCTATCGTGTAGCACATTACAAAAACGATGGCTTTTTGGTGGGCTTGTGATCGTTTTCAATCTAACATGTTCTACTCATTTTTTAAAAACCAGCTTAACCATTCACATAACTTTAGTAGGAATTGGGGCTGTGGTGGCTCACATGGTAAGATGCTGGGCCTGCATACCACTGAAGTCGGCAGCTCAGTGGCTCGATTCCTGTGAGTGAATAAACCCCAGAGGGACAAGACAGGAGCCTCCACGACTGCCTGCCAGCATTCAGGCATCCTGCAGGTAAAGATAACACCGCCTGAAAAATTCCTTTCACAGAAGCAGCCAGCCACCTCAGTGATCCCTGGCTAACACGTGCTATACAGTAAATAAATAAACAAACAAACAAACAAATAAGTAAGTAAGTAAGTAAGTTAAGTAAGTAACTAGGAATTCAAACAAGAAAAAGACTCGGTGAGAAGCTTAAGAAAGCATGGACTCAGCTCAAATACCCAGGAAAAGTTAAATATATTCAGATTTTGGGAACAGTCACTGATGTCTAGACAACCACTTCTGAAAAAAAAAAAAAACAAGATTCAGTCTATCCCCTACTCTTTCATCTCCTATCTACATCAGGAAATAAATGACCTGAGGCCACTGATCAAGCTACTCTATAACCGATAGTTGTAATCACGTACTTCAGTGCATTGTCTTCAACGCCTGTTGTCATGCTGCCTTCAACAGAATTCACTTCCAAATAAGCGGAATGTAGAATGCAACTCTGGAGATTCCAAACTTTTTTTTTTCCTTTTGGCCATTCCACAACTTAGAACCCAGGGAAACAAAACAAAGGCATCTAAATAAATTCAGATTCATATATGCCCATCAATCCCAGGCACATCAACTCAACCCGCAAAGTGAGTCTCTTTAAAAGTCCAACATCGTAAACGAAGCTTTCATAAGCATGCTAAGCAGTTTCACATTCACTGACATGTTGCTGCCAAAGGCAGGCCTGTTTATACACAAAGGCCAGAGAATGCCTGCATTTCTCCACATTTCCATGGTGTATTAGAAAACTGAGTAGGACCTTGGAAGACTTTTAAAAGGGTGAAGCAGGATGTGTTTTTGTGACCCAGAGTTCACTTACTAGCTGAATACAGAACACAGAATAACAACGTTGGGAGGGACCTTAGAGGTCTTCTAGCCCAACTCCCTGCTCAAACAGGAAACCCTATACCAGGGGTCGGCAACCTTAAACACTCAAAGAGCCACAAAAGTCCTAACCGGAAGCACCCCATTCAATCCTGGAGCCGACCAGACTCTATGGCAATTCCCCTACCATAGAGTCTCCTCCTAGCACAGCGTCCTTTTTCCTCTAGCTGTCCTAACCAAAAGCCCTATCAATTGTGGAGCTGACTAGCAACAGGGAGCCACAGCAGAGGGATGAAAAAGGCACATGCGGCTCCGGAGCCTCAGGTTGCTGACCCCTGCCCTATACCAAGGATCTTCAAACTTGGCAACTCCCAGAATCATACATTGCAATGTCCTACCTGTCAATGAATACTTCAGCTTCAACCATAACAATTATAAGAGCACACAATAGATACAAACTCAAGGTTAACCGCACCAAACTTGATTGCAGGAAAGACGACTTCAGCAGCAGAGTGGTCAATGTCTGGAATACTCTACCTGACTCTGTGATTTCTTCCCCAAACCCCAAAAACTTTAACCTTAGACTGTCTACTATTGACCTCACCCCTTTCCTAAGAGGTCTGTAGGGGGCGTGCATAAGCACACCAACGTGCCTACCGTCCCTGTCCTATTGTTTCTTTTATTTTTATTTTTCTGATGTGTATCCATGTAGTCATAACTGTGTTTTTACTTATGACTATTACCTTGTAAGCAATTGACAAAAATAAATAAATACAAATACAAAAAATTCCTGAGCTAACATGACTGGAGGAGGAATTCTGGGAGTTGAAGTCCACAAGTTTTAAAACTGTCAAGTTTGAAGACTCCTGCCCCATGCGATTTCAGACAAATATCTTGTTAAAAACTTCCAGTGTTGAAGCACCCACAACTTTGGAGGCAAGTCGTTCCAGGGATTAATTGCTATCTGAACCCGGTTCCCACCCCCCACCCCCCACGCCAAAATCAATCCTTCACCACCAGCGGAGACCTGCACAGACATACTGTATCTACCCTTCAGCACCCACCTAATGGTCTCTCCTCATCCCCACCTGATGTGGAGACGTTGTCGAGACACCTCTGGAGGGCGCCCCTGTTGGAGAAGGTCGGATGACATCATCTAAGTCACGGCCATTGTTGCCCCGTTTTGTTTTCCCTCCTTTTTTCCCCCCCTCCTCTTGCATTTCGTCCAACCTGCTCCCTTCGAGCCACCTTTACCTGCAACCTGGCCGATGCTCCAGGAGAGCAGGACGACTCGCCGTAGCGCATGACTTCTTCCAAATTCCAGCGGCGGGCGGCTGCAGCTTGGAGAGCCAAGGCTGTTTCCCGGCGCCGGCGGCGGCGGCAAAAACCGGAGCCGCGCAACCCGGAGGATTCAGGCGAAAAGGAGATTGTTAGCCAGGAGCTCCTATAGCAACAGAACCGTGGAAGAAAGCAGGCGCGCCGGCACATGCGTAACAATGGGAGCCGCATCCAGCCCTGCCGCCCCGGTTCCATGGTGCTTGCTGAGCTGAATTCATCCCACCTCGCGATCACCGGGTTGGGGGAGGGGGGAGGCAGGGAGGGGCGAGGGAAATGAGTCTTCCACCCGCGGGGAGGGAGGGGCTGCTTAGGGCAACGAGTGGTGGAGGTCTTTGGGCTGCGGCTCGCGATCGATGTCTTTTGCTTCTCTCAGCGGA